CTTGCTTCAGTTTCGAATGGGGATTGACCATTCTTTCTTCTTGACATCGGGATGTATCGGAAAATGGGTGTGTTTAGTCCATTTGAGGGCGTCATACTCCCTTTGGTTGTTGCAGGTTTAGCAAGCTCATCATCGTTCTTGCTTGAAGACGACATGGCTTCTTCTTCTTGCTTCTTGGGCATGGCTTGCCACTCCTGCTTTTTAGGTGTTACTTTGCCCGTGGATTTGATCTCTTTTGGAAGAGCTTCGAGCACCATGTCTTCATCCATATAGAACTTGGCGTCTGCGAAATGTGATTCGGCTTCAATGAATGGTTTGGTGTCGCCATAGATCACCTTCACTCCTTCTCGGTAGAATTTCAAGCATTGGTGAAAGGTGGACGGTACTACTCCATTTGCATGGATCCAAGGTCTTCCTAAGAGCAAGCCGTAAGAAGTTCTTGCATCAATCACGTGGAATATCGTGCTTGACTTGAGTTCACCAATAGTCATATCCACTCGGATCATGCCCATCGCTTTTTGTCCTCCTTGATTAAAACCTTGGATTAGTAGACGACTTAGGGACAGTTCATCCGCCTTGATGCCGATTGTAGTCATTGTTGACTTTGGCATGATGTTTATGGCTGATCCACCATCCACAAGCATGCGGTTGACTTTGTGCTCCCTTACGTACCCCGTACCCAGAGACGAAGAGATGACGGTTGTGAGGCTTGGATCCTAGCAGCAAGTCTTCGTCGGTGAAATGGATTGCGTCCTCGATGGCACAGCATGTGGCCGAAGCTTAAAGCCTTCGTTCTTGCTTTCTTGCACTTCGTGGTCATTGGGACTTTCCAAGATCGCTGCTAATGCTATTGACATCTTCTTTGGTAATCGTAGCGCTTCCTCAATGCTAAAGTGTGTTGGCAGACCTTCTTCGAGCGTGAGAGTTTTTTCTCCCTCAATGGTGATATTTTTGCCTTTTGAAGGTTCTTCTATTTCTACTTCGACCATGTGGCATGCAGCGATAGTGCACTGTTGGAAGAAGTCATTTAGGAAGTACTTGTGCAATGAGACAGGAATGCGTGGCTCTTGCTCCATAGGTTCCCCAGCATACGTTGGCTTATCAACTTTTACGTTTCTTTTGGGCTTCCTACTGTTGGCGACGGTGCTTTCTCACTTATTCCACCTTCTGTCTTATGACTTGTGGTTTTGGTTTCCTTGTTTTTTTGTAGGTCACCAATGTCCATCATTTTTCATCATCGGTATGTGCATCTTGTTCGTTTGCCCCCGGCGATGGTTGCGTAGAAGGTATCGTGCAACTTGAGCATTGATAGGAATGGTCAGGTGCTGCTTGGAGAGGCACGGGATCGAAAGATCCAAATGCAATTGTAATAGTATGTGTTGCGACCGTGTCTTCGAGGTCGAGCTTGATTCGCCCTTGTTGTGCTAGTTTCATGATGAGCTCTTTGAGGACGAAGCATTTACCCACATGATGACTCACGATTCGATGGTACTTGCAGTATTTAGGATCGTTTATGCGATTCATTTCTTCAGGCCGCTTGCATTCGGGTAGCTCGATTACCTTCTTTTCTAGCAAGTCGTCTAACATTGCATCCATGTCTGAGTCAGGAAAAGGGTATTCTTTATGCTCCAATTCCCTCAAGGTGCTTTTGTACCTTTCTTGGGTGCGAGGAGGCTCACTTTTCTTTATCTCCTTTGCTTTGGTTTTGGAGGAGATCTTGATAGGCGCGGAGGCGGTCTTGACGGGCGCAGTGCTGACGGTGAACGCTTCATTGGGGGGTTTCTTCCCAGTCTTGTCTACATTTGGGGAGAACACCTTATCTTTCTTGAAGTCGGTGATCGGCTTTTTCTTCCCGTGATGGGCAATACTTAGCTCTATGTCATGGGCACGGGTGGCTAACTCTTCAAATGTCCGTGGTTTGATGCCTTGAAGGATATAGTGTAACCCCCATTGCATGCCTTGGACGCACATCTCGATCGAAGAGATCTCCGAGAGCCTGTCCTTGCAGTCGAGGCTCAGATTGTGCCATCGGTTGATGTAGTCCACGACTAGCTCATCCCTCCATTGCTTCGTGCTTGTCAGCTCTAGCATGCTCACGGTGTGGCGGGTGCTGTAGAAGCGGTTGAGGAATTCCTTTTCCAATTGCTCCCAATTGTTGATGGATTCAGGCTCTAGGTCCGTGTACCACTTAAAGGCATTTCCTTTCAGCGAGCGTACAAACTGCTTAGCGAGGTAATCTCCTTCTGTCCCCGCGTTGTTGCAAGTCTCAATGAAATGGGCGACATGTTGCTTCGGGTTTCCTTTTCCATCGAACTGCATGAACTTTGGTGGCTGATAACCCATTGGCATTTTCAAAGCGTCAATTTTCTTGGGGTAGGGTTTTGAGTATAGTACGGAGTCATGTGAAATTCCTTCGTACTGTGCCTTAATAGTGCTGGCGATCATCTCTTGCAGTTGTTGGATAGAAAGAGGTCCCGTGAGTGCCGCTGCTTGGCCTGGTTCCGGCTTCACATCGATTTTCTCCACTGGAGGCCCTTCATCCTCGTCGTTTTCTTTCTTTACTGAATCATCCCCTTGCTCGATTTTCAAGTCAGGCTTTACATCTAGTTGGTTGACGAGTGCAGCGATTTGCTGGTCTTTTTCTTCCACAATCCGTGTTAGCCTTGCGATCGCTTCATTCATATGAGCCAGCTGCTCATCTATTGAAGTAGCTCCAGTAGTCATGACTTGCATGGCTGAGCTGCCGCTTGAGTTGACATCGGAAAGAGTGGAACCAGAGTACTTCCTTGGGCTTTCCTTCCTTGGCGCCCTTAGTGAGGCCAGGGTAATCACAGGTTCGTGCCTCGGGTGCTCTTGTTCCTTTGGCGGAGTTGATGTAGGGGTAGAAGAGGCGGCAGAAAGAGCTCTTGCCTTGCTTCGAGTTATGACGCCCGAAGTGACACCGCCTGCGGTGATGACGCTCTTGTTCCTTGCATTGGCTGCGAGAACAACTTGAGCCTTCTTTGATGCCATTTGTGCTTTTTGCGGATTCAAAGATAGAGATGAGAGGTAGAGATTGTCCCACTGGGCGTGCCAAATTTGTAAACACGGAAATTCCTGCGATGAACGAGAAAGAACACGTGTACAAAATAATATTTGTATTGATGATTTAGGGGTTACAATCTTTTCTACAAATTTAGCCTATGATTCTATCTTTGTAACGGGTGGATTTGATGTTGTTGATCCAAAGGGCCGTTGGGCTTGATCTTGGGATAAACAATTGTGCAAATTTGTTGACGTCGTTGATCCAAAGGGCCGTTGGGCTTGATCTTGGGATAAACAATTGTGTAGATTTGTTGACGTCGTTGATCCAAAGGGCCGTCGGGGCTTGATCTAGGGATGAACGAATGATGAACACTTTCTTCAAGGGCCATGAGGGGCTTGCTTTTGAATGAGGATTTGACGAAGAACGAAGAGAGCTTTCTTGATTCTTCGAGATTTGCTTGGGAGCTTTGGAGTTTCAAAGCTTCAAGGTTGTGGTGTGAGGTGAATTGGTTATGAATTGGTGTCCAAAAATGAATGTCTTGGCCTCCTATTTATAGAATTCCAAAACTTGATTTTCTTGGATTTAAATAATCAGATGAAATAAATCATTTCTGCCAGGTGTTGACACGTGTCCTGTTTGATGACTTTTCCGATTTATTTTGATTTTTCATTTAGTCACATGTTATGTGTAAAATTTATATGACACATAAACGTTGAAATTTTAATTATTGATCAACATTTATTTTACCGAAATTTCGATGTCTACAAAGCTGTTTAGAAGTGTTTTTAATGAGGAAATAATGGTGTTTGCTACAAAAGTTGATATGCTTGATCACGAGAAGGTCTTCCATAATGAAGTCAAATTAGGAGGGTTGTGAAAGGAAGGTGGGGTCAAAAGTGGGTTAGAGTGAGCATGACAAATTTGGGGGTGGAGTACGTGAGTGAATTTTGTGTCTAGAGTCGCACAAAAACGTGGTCCAGTTGCTGGACCACATAATTTCTCCCTGATCACATGCCTAACTCTTATGGATATTGTATGACTTGGCTAGGGGTTATGGTAAAGCTGCACATTTCATCAGACTATCTATTTGAAGATTTTTAAGACGGACAATCAATAATCGACAATGTAAATGCATTAGTTATAGAGAGATAGAGTGATTTAGGAAACCCCATTGGATTAGTTCGAATTTAAGCAACTTATCAATTATTGCAATCAAAATAATAAACTATATTAATCGGTTCTCAACTCTTCTCAAGCAAACGTTGATCTGAGAAGGAAGAAAAACCCATCCCAATAGGTTTGAATTGGACAGGTTTTCAATTTTTTAGGACCTAAACTTTATGTCCACTTTTGTAATGAAAGTCTTTAATTGGCCTCAACTCAAGAGTTTAATTGACAAATTTAGGATAAAATATGTTGGTTTTTTAGCCAAAATGGTCTGTGAAATTTGTATAATTCTTCACCTTGGTCTTTGAGATTTGAAATCAATACAAGTGGTCTGTGAGATTGCCTACCATCTATCATTTTGATCATTCCTGAATAGTTATGTTAAATAAAGATTTGAATGACAAAACTATCCGTAATTTAATAAACAATAGACGAAAATGATTTGACAAAAAATTAAAGGTATTTTTGTTATTTTATTCTTATTTAATGAAGATTTTTCACGAAATGAGCAAAATGATTGATTGTGAACAAACTAATGAACAAATTTTATCGATTTCAAATCTCAAATATCAAAATGAAGAGTTATGCAAATTTAAGGACCATTTTGGATTAAAAAAAACCAAATATGTTTTAAGGACGAAAGTGAAAAAAATCCCTCAGTTTCGGATTGTCGACCATTTGTAAGTAGACCATTCGTCTACAACTACAAGGGCCGGTTCGGATTGTTTAAATTTGGGTTGCCCGAGCTCTGACCCGCCCAGATAACCCCGGAGCATTCTGAAGGCTAGGGTTTTGACTCTCTCCCTACTATATATACCAACTGCAAAGCAAAATTCCTCCTCGTCCTAAACGGCCCCCGAGTGAATCAGCTGGTACCGCCATAGCTTCTGCTTCCGCCGACTAAATCATGGGGCACTCAAACGTCTGGAATTCTCACCCTAAGAACTACGGCCCTGGATCCCGCACCTGGTGACTCATTTTTCTATTTCTTTGTTAGTTTATTGCGATTTATCTGTGTTACTGCTAGCTTTGAACGTTTTTTGTGTATCTACATCTGGGATTGAGTTCCGATTCGATGCATTTTTTTTTTGTATTCGGGTGTTGGTGCATCTTTGTGGTTAAAATTGTTATTGAGTATGCTTGCTTTGGTTCCTTTGTACAGTCGCGTGTGTGGAAACCCTCATGGGTTGATCAGGAAGTACGGCCTCATGTGCTGCAGGCAGTGCTTCCGCAGCAATGCCAAGGAGATCGGCTTCATTAAGGTAAAGGCTTCGAGAACCCTTAGCCACCGATCATTTTATGATTCCATTTACGGAGCTGAGCTTTCACCATTTCCACTATGTAATCTGGTTTCATTTTTCAAACTTTATGGTTGCAGTACCGTTAAATGGCAGACATTCAACATTCCAGGACTCGATGTTTTGGACCAAGAAGAGTAGTATTGGTTTCTGAGTTCTCCTCAACTTTTAAGAAATATTTTTGTTTTAGTTGATCTGCTGTTGAACTTGAATTGGTCGTCAGACTAAGAATACTGTGTTATTAATGAATTAAAGTTTGATTTATGTCCTGTTTCTTGTGGCTGTTTGATGTTTCTCTCGTCCTCGTCTTGGTTATCTCAAGTGACATGTATATATCTCGTTCTTGCTTAGCATTCCTTGGGTCCGAATAAGTTCTTGCTTAACAATCAATCGAATGTCGAACAGAAAAAGTGAACTTGAAACTGGCTGGCAGTGTGTCATCCACTATCTATCTGTAGTGTTTGTTTTGAAGCCGATGTACCATGTTCTCGCTATGTTAGTTATGATGCAGACTAAAGTTGCTTCACCAGATCGGAAGCTTGAGGCGACTTATGAGGATTTGCCAGAGGATTACCCCTGGCACTTGCTTCACTTGCAGATAAGTTTTAAGTGTTTGTTTATTCATGTCATCGGTTTTTGTTGTGTTGTCGGTACGGATCAGAATTCATAGCTTCTATGATTGCCTCCACCACAATTAGTTATCTGTCAACCGTGCTAAGATGATTGAACATTTTCTTGCCAGATTATTTGTTTGAAATTTGAAATATTTTGTAGATTTTGTCAAGATTTGTAGTGGTCGATAAATGAATGCTATGAGAACTGAAATTGAAAAAATGGTATGTGGTCTATAGACTTTGCCCATAAAATGTTTGATTAACTAGCGAACCCGGTGGTAGATCATTGGATGTTAAAAAAATTCCATTGTGAAATGGTTTATTTTTTTTGACATGTTAAAAGAGTTTGTATGGGATGTTAAAAGCAGGCTCGTCAATTTTTTTGAATCACTCGTTAACTTGACAAGAAATGTTACGAAAATAACAGGTTTCGAATCAACGAGTTGGGTCATTGTCAAGTCACTTGTTAAGAACTCGATAATATATTATTTGCCAGATTTAGACATTAAGCTTGTTAATTTCTTGCATGACTTGTTAACTGGACATGAACAACAAGATTCTTTAACTTATTGGGTCAATATTGAGTTATTAGTTAAAGTTTTTTTTTTTTTTTTTTTCAGATAACGAGTTTAACACGACACGGTCTATTAAGATAGATAAGATTTGACAAACATGATCCGTTTACCAAACTTCATTATAAGCACTCTAAATATGTCGTCCTAATTAAAGAAATGTGTGCGCATGAATTTTTCTGGGATTGTCGATGGTAGTTTTCTTTATGTATTTGCAGACTATCATAGGCACTCTATACTTGTTTATCTTGCTGTCCTAAGAAATGTGCTTTAGTAAATTCGAGTGTAGAATTATATCATAAACAAATCCGCTTCCACAAAACTTGTATGCAGCATCAAACGCATAGGGAATAGACTAACCTTTGTTTGCATTGAAATTGAAAGAATTCATGTCTTGCATATATTTAAAAGGATAATTCTCACTTTACTGCTTTAAATTATTGTGGTTTTCGAACTTTCATACATCAAGTTTTTTTTTTTTTTTTTTTTTTTTTTTTTTCATTCCAGTATCGTACTTAAAATGAGAATTGTGACACTTTCATACATCTGTTAAGTTTTTCGTAAAAACTTCCTTTAACTCGTGATGTGGCTCTTACATGAATACTGATTGAACGTCACATGTCATATCGCTCCATGTGGACATTAACAAATTAAAAAATAACCCCATAAATAAACATATAATATTTTTGTTTGTACCATACTTAGGGTCTCTGCATTTAGATTTCGTATAAATACTCGGGGGACTCAAATGTAATTATGTAATAAATGAAGGGGCAAATATGTAAAAAGGGGAAGAGCCCTTAGTCTATAAAAGGACCTCCTCACCCTCACAATCCTCAAGCTCTGAGACCAGAGCAAGGCCTCACTGTCATATTCCAAGGGCTCTCACCCTCATATTCCAAGGGCTCTCACCTTTACAATCCTCTCACAAACAAAGAAATACAATATTAGTGTGGACGTAGTCCAAACATTGGGGTGAACCACGATACATCTTGTGTTCTTTACATTTCTTGCAGATTCACGGTTGGATTTACGTTGTTCCAAGACCTCTGGTTTTGTGCATCAACATTTGGTGCCGTCTATGGGAATCGACACAAAAAACTATGTCGGTTTTCTCTCAATTTTTCATCTCACCACCGTGAGACCTCACCACACTCCACTATGAATCTGCAGAAACCCAGAACCTCCCTCATTGGGCTTTTCCAAAAAACCCCCACAAACACAAAACCGCTCGTCCCTCCCTCTTACTTTCTCTCTCTAAAAACTCCAGATTCAGAAAAGCTCTCTCTAAACTAAGCTTTCTCTCTCTAGAATCTGCAGCAATGATAGACAGTATGTTGAGGCTCTCTTTCTTCTGACCCCAAGCTCCTCTTCAGCTACACCACCAACTCCTCCAGTGTTGACCACTTGGGCTTCAACTGTGAACGGCCACTCACCCGCCTCATGCACCACGGATTCATCACCGCCAATCCTACCGTTGTTCAGCATATCCTGAAGACCAACTTCCCCAACTACAAAAAAGGACAAAGAGCACCTGGATTCAAACTGACCTCTTCGGCGATGGCATTTTCAACATCGATGGAGATAACTAGAAGTTCCAGCGCCAAGTCTCCAACCACGAGTTCAACACCAAGTCTCTGCGTAAATTTTTCGAACAGGTGGTCGACACCGAGCTTTCCGACCGCTTTATTCTAATTCTCTCTGCCGCCCTCGAGCCTCCAAACCTACCACCATCTCAATCTGCTCCTCAAACACAACACGACCGTGACTTTCGTGTTCGCAAACTCGGATCCAAAGCTCGAGAACCACGAACTCAGTCGTGCCTGGACTTTCTGACGAGTTTTCCGTCGTTGTCCGGGCTAATAGCAAAAGAGAAGTCCACTGCAGGACTCCGATGAGTTGCAGAGAGAAACACCACCGGAGACTACGTCAACGGGTTGTCATCTTATTATGAGGGGGTCTTTCTCGCTCAAGGCAAGACCATGAGCGTTTGCCTCGGGTCAAACAATTACACCGACCCGACCCGACCCGACTTCTTCGTTCCCTTCGACACTCGATGTTACAGAAGATACTAGAGAACGAGATATACTCCAAAGACGATCTCCGGGAGCTTCTCAACTGTTTCCTGTAGCTTAACTCTCCCTGCAACCATGGCATTATTATCAGGGTCTTCACTGAGATCTGGAATGCTGTTTTCTCTGTCCGGTCTGGAGGTTCGACGTTGCTGCACTTTGCGAGCAACAAGTCATGTGACTACGAGCTAAAGCTATATCTTGTGCACGTGCAACGGAGTTGGGAGACTGAGTTTTCATTTACATGTTGAGTTAAGAAGAAAACAATGGGATTAAATCAAGTTACTTTGCCGTCTGTGGCCACGTCATCGACTCCGGGCTTGTTCAAGCTGTTCAGCCTGAGATCCGTGGACGGAAAGACTTCATGCTCGGCCGTGGACGATGGTCTTATGATGAACAACCTGACAGTGGCGGCTGTTACGCACATGCTCAACAACAAGCGCGACTTCCCCTCCGTCAACGGCAGCATATTGGGGCAACAAGCAATAATTCAAAGAGCTCAATGGCCCATGCCTTGCATCTTCTTTGCAGGGTGGTAGCCATGTGAAATATTTTCTGAGAAAGCAAAAGATGACCTTGGGTGGACAGAATGAGCGGGGAGATCAAGAAAAGCAAAAGATAAATTTCTTATTATTATTATTCTATCATGATTCCTTTTGTCTGTCAGGTGAAGAGACATGGAGAGTGCAGTGGAAAAGCAAAAGCAAAGCAAAAAAAACAAAAGCAAAGCAGAAAAACAAAAGCAAAAGCAGGAAAGCAAAAGCAAATCAGAAAAACAAAAGCAAAAGTAGAAAGCAAAAACAGATAAAAAAATCAGACATAATTGCGGTGGTGATGGCATGCAGAATAGGGAATTATGGGCGTGACCCATTGAGCAGAGGGTTAGATTTATTTTTGAACGATGTGATTTATTTTTCTTATCATTCGGAGACATCTGTATAACTCCATTAGAGGGTAATAATCATACAAAAAAAATAACACATCATCCTAATAACAATCATACACATCATATTGATCATACATATGTAACCACATTTCATAAACGTTTCCAAGCTACAGTCGAATCACAATTAATAAACATAGATCGATGCTAAAAATAAAATAACACTACAATAGAAAGCATATTTAATTAACAAGTATAACTCAATATGATGCCACTAATACATATATCGAGACACACGTCAATCGAGAATGGCACGCCATCGTGATGAGCCAACTAAGTTCCATCAAGCCTCAACAACAAACTAGAGATAAATGACACTTTAGAGTATAGCATGTTGACTAGAACGTCAACTATCGATAAGGTATGTCCATTAAGATCAACAATCTAAGGTTATTCAAATTGGAAGATCCTCACATCGGATTTCCAATCCGTAAGTTCTCAAAGGTCCAACAACTGATACGACGATCCAACGATCGGATTGTCGTCAATCATACAAACAAATGGTGGTCCAATTTGATCACCACATCAAACAATTGAATTTTGGGAAACCGAGCTAGACATAGGTTCATAGGGTCACTAGAAGGTATTTAGTGCTTAGACAACACTTGTGGACGGTCCCACGCACCGCCACACGCGATGGTAGCCATGGTGAAGGGTTTGAAAACCCAAATTTTCAACCTTAACCAAAAAGGCTCAAATTTACGTGGTACCTAGAGCTCAACAAGGGAAACATTATTCACAACTAGGCCAACGACAATTTCTAACCAGAAACCATCCAAATTCATTGGGAAAAAACCGGGTTTTTAGGGTTCTAAACACCCAACTCTAAAACAAATACGAAAGCACAAACCAAGCATACCATCATGAAGATTATGAAGAGTAGATGAAGTTTAATACCTCACTCGAAAGAAATGGTTGCCGAAATCACCGGAAAAATAATAAAATCGCCGGAAACCCATGAAACTTTGCTGCCTCAAACTGGAAAATGGATAAGAAAATGGGAAATCTAATACTGCAGAGATGTAGGGCTCGTCAAGAGCTTTCCATGGACACCAAGATCACCCAAAAC